CGGACGCACGATTGCTTCGGAGGTACACGGTGCGTTGCCAGCGTCGCAAGCACGAAAGGTGGATGTACTTCTGCGAACCCTGGCATTGTCGCGGCTACCAAAACAAAACCTCGAATGCAAGTTCCGATTGCGGGGGATCCTGGGCCGGAACCCTTGATTCGAACCTAAAGCGCTCTAAACGACGAGGCTGGGCCTCGCATTTGCAAGGCGAAATCAGCTCCTCTCCGTTCTCCGTCTCCTGTCGAGAAAGCCGGACTCAATCCGGCTATGACGGAGGGCCGTAGGGCTCCTAAGGCCACAGCCCCTAATCAACTGTTGGCAGCGAGGATCTAGAGCTGGGCGGCCTTCAAGACTATCCTCGGGGGTTATGGCTTGCAGAATGCTTCGAACCCTGAACGCAACACCCTTGCACCCGCAACTTGTACACATTGGGCTCGTGTCCCAGAGTCGGTGCCAGGTCGTCGAGCTACAAGTAAGGTCAGGCCCAGCTGGCTCAGCCACCTATTTGCCGTCGCCATGTCCCTCAAGTCGAATTTCCAGGCTCCCAAAATTTATCTCCCGGCAGCCTCCAAGACCTAACCACGGTCTTCACTCCGAGGCATAAGGTTCGGGTTTAGTTTAGTTGGCCCGGCAGGGAGGCAAATTCTCAATGCTTTGGCCTCCAAAGTGACAGTTGCCTCACAACGAAAAAGAGAAGGACTTCGAAGCCTGAAAGCCTTTGAAGGAAGGAACCTTTTTTTCGTGAGATCCCTGGCTCTCGCCTGGCCGAAGCAAACGCGGCAAGTGGGAAGGTCGACGGCCATGGCAGCTGTTTTAGGCGACTGAGGCGTGACGCGAGTGACTGGACCGTTGGGGCTTGGGCTTGGGGGGGTGAGAATCCGCACGAAGGCCTGCTGCGCCTCTGCTTTCATCTGGCGACAGTTGTACTTGCAGGAAATTTGATTCAGCCTCGAAAGGGCATCTGGAAGTCTGAACTGAGGCCTCTCTGCTACGTTGAGGACATGGCAGCTTCGAAAGTGGAATGCGATCTAGAGAGACTACTCTTAAATTACGTGGCGGTCACAGCGGAAGCCTACGAAAGGCAAAAAACGAAATGCGGCGGATAATCATGAGTCTGACAAATCTCAGAGCCGTCATTTCTGAAAACTACTGTATGTGACAATGCTGCCGGTAGCACTACTTACTAGTACTAGTATGTGCACAAGTAGCACCACGGCAACAACACCTGTTGCTGCTACTCCACTCCTCCTGTTAATCCTCTAAGGGCGAGCTCAGCCCTGACTTTTCAGCGGCCGCCTGTTTTCGAACAGGCTCTGCGCAAAGAGGCAATAACGCCTACCCCTTTCTTATCACCCTGACACGAACGCTCTGACTACCAGGCTCCAGTTCTTTCCCTGAATCTCAAAGGCCCAGACCCTGAGCCTAGGACCCCGATAAGCCCAGCAACATCCCTGCATCCTAAAGCGCACCCCAAGGTCCTACCCTGCTGGACCCCTTGCAGGGTGCCAGTCTCCTCCGCTCAGGATAAGGGCCACCGGAAGCACGCAAGGCCATCTCTATGACCTCCCCCTTATAGCCCGAAAGCCGAAGCGCTGAAAAAGGCTGTGCTCCGGTGACCCCTGAAGCTGGGCGGAGTTCGGAGGATCCGTGCCCGCGACGTGTCCACCCGGGCAATCCGGAAGCCGACTTGAACTTATGGGCTGAAGGCTTTGCTAGCTTAGAGGCTTCGAGTTCATCAAGGGGGATCAGAGGGTAGGGCTTCACTGCACCCTAACAAGGCTCCTACATGAGATCTTGGGAGGTACAAGCGGCTGCCAGGACGCCTTGGACTCGACATCCACGGTGAACCCTTCGGGTTCAATAACTCCTAAGTCATATGCCCTAAAACCCGAAACGCATCCGCCCCGAAACAACGCCAGGGTTCCGTCTGGCAGTCCCCAGCAGCCTGAAAATCCATGAATCCCAGTTCCCCAACTTCGCATTACAAGAGAACCAAACTTTTCTGCGATCCTCCTACTCGACCTCCAGGAGCAGGGACCTCTACCAGCAAAACCCATTAAATCCTGCACAACTTTGAGCTGTCTGGGCATAGGTCCAGCAGCCGCTCGAGCAGGGTTGTTGCAAGAGATACCATTGGCTTGTCAATCTGGTCTTTACTGGGAACCAGGGTCGTGCTAGGCCGTCCTGTCAAGATCGATATACAAGTAGGATGGCAAGAGCAAAACCCTGCATTCGATCGCCTCTGACAGGACCATGGCCACTGTGACGTGAGTTTGGAACTGGGCTGGAGAGCTGGCCAAACCGCTGAAGGATCTTTGTGCGCCAGTATAAGACTTCTGAGGCTTGCTTGTTGAAGCGGTACGTGTATGTACCACAACTTATAGTAGCTACCGGCTCCACGTACAACCTAATCTCTGTTCTCAACTGCTTCAAACGTCAATGGTCATCGTGTAGCATCATGTAATGCACACATGTAAACGCCTTCCCACAGAACGAAAAGCCCAACGAACGACCGATGAGGGCAACATATTTTGCGGCCGACTTGGTCTTGGCAAGACAAGTGGCGACAGTGACGAACGAAACAATGCAGAGGTAGGAAGCAGTAGCAGCAGCAGTAGCAGTAACAGTCCGCCGCAGCAGCAGCAGCAGCAGCAGCAGCAGCTGCAGCAGCAGCATCATGAGTGGCACTGGCGGCAGTGGCAATGGAAGGAGCAGCAGCAGTGGCCGTAGCCATAGCGGTAGCGGCAGGAACAGGGGTAGCGGTACTGGTCGTAGTACTAGTGCTCGTAATAGTACTGGTACTACGAGTAGTAGGAGCAGTCATAGTACTTGTCTGCAAGAGTGTAAGTATGAGAGTGGCAGGAGTTGGAGGGGACCAAAAAGAAGCAGTAGTGTTGGTGGTAGTAGTAGTAGTAGTAGTAGTAGTAGTCGTCGTCGTAGCAGCAGCAGTAGTCGCAGCCGATCGTAGCAGTCAAAGTAGCAGTAGCAGTGGGATCAGTAGCAGCAAGTGTTCCGGTAGTGGTAGTGGTAGTGGCAACAGTGGTAGTTGCAGTCGTCGTCGTCGTTGTTGTGTGGAGTGGCGTTGGTGGCAGAGATGGCGATGATGAGTGCTGGTGACACGTACTTGATAGCTTGGCTGTAACACTGGTACGTACACTGCTGCACCCAGCCACTGCGCCCAGAACCCGGGGGACGCTGGCAAAATTGCTTGCACATTTGCTCGGCGGCTTTGCGGGGGCTCCGGGTTGTCGTGTTCGACGCACATGTGAGCCTCGTTGGCAGCCACAACGATAAAGGATTCTGGATTCGAAGGACGAAGACAATGTCCCAACAATTGAACCGAAGTCATTGAACCCACTGCATATCGCAACAATAAAAATTGTTGGGAACTGTAACAGTGGAAACCGCAAACAACCTTAATCCTCAACCATCAAGCCCCTCTTACGCTTAAGGCTTCAGCGTGTGACGCTTGTCCAACTCCACAAGACCGTAGAATCCCTGAACCTCTCTTCAATCCTAGAACAATTTTCCGCGGAATCCAAATCCCTGAACCCCCGAGCCAGGCAGCCATGCTATGTCGAGAGGGTCCTTCGTTTACGAAGGGCCCGGTCCTAAACTGGAGCTCAAGACCCCAAAAGCAATCGTTGCCTCCAGTGACAACTCAACTAAAGCACCCGATCATGAAGCCAAAACCTCTAAATCTCGTGCCGGCAGTGCAGCACAATAAATCCTAGCTCGAGCAAAACACAGCAAAGCTAGGCGGAAACATTCCATAAAACTGACCTGCAACCTGCATGCAAATCGTGACCAAGTAGGCAACATTACATCCTGCAGAACTGGTAGAGCTTCTTCGCTGTTCGATCAACTGCCAGTCTGGTTTGGGGTTGGCGGCTCTCAGGGCAAGGCTCTTCTCGCGAGAGGCCATCTTGCTGCGAGGAAGACCGACAATCTGGAATTTAAATCCACAACCTCAACCTTGAAGCTACACAACGCCCAAAGCTTCTGCCCTGGAAAATCCAAGGCAATCTAAATTTGCCCTACAAGCTTGCCCGGGGCTTTGCTACCAGAATAGGATATTCTTTGTGAAATCGTCGCGACTCCCTGTCAGGAGGAGCGAAGGTCGTAGCAGATACTGCCACTGACCACATGCTTTGCAGCAGCTTCAAAACCCTAATTAAGTCTAAGCAATCAAACCCTACAAAGCTGAACCATTCATTCTGAATCAAAACTCCGCATGAGTCGGCGGCAGGTTCTGCGCCTGCTTCTGGTACCATCCTGCACATTCCATGGAAACCTCACTGCATTTTGCGCACGGGCCGGCAAAGGCCCCCAGTAGCATCTTGCTCATTTCCGTGTCTCGGCAGTCTACTCAAAAAGACGACAAACGCATAAGGCTGATTCATGTACTGCCATCGTTGCCGTTGTCTGCCGGTTTCCAGCTCGATGCGACCCATCAACCCTAAACCCGAAATTTCGAACTGCAAGGATGTATGGTTCCAGCTGGAGGTGTCCATGACGCACCAGTGACAGCAAGCTCTACCAAGCCGAAGCGTCTGGTGTTCCACAGGAAGACCCTGACGCAATCTAATGGCAGAGCATGTCTGCCTAATCGCAGGCTTCTCCATGCACGGGAATGGGAAAGTTTTGCTCAACTCGAAACATGGCGCTTTGGGTTTAAGGTTTCCTCAGACACCCTGAACACATGATCTCCTGCACCTTCTTCTCTTCAACTTGGACGGAGGCAGATGTGCTGCAAGTTTCGAATCTTTGTCACTGATGCTGTGCCGCGCAGTGCGCATTCCACGATCCTCTCTCGCTGCGTGAAGATCTTGAACCTCAAACCCGAACCGCTGAATCCCTCAACCCGCAGCCCCGCCCAGTACTGGGCGGTTCAAGGACAGTAGGGAAAGGGCTCTGCTTGAACCTCAGGGCTCCGGGGTTCGGAATTCAAGTCTCTGTAGGGGAAGCTCTGCGCATCCCTAAAGTCCGAAGTCTTCGGCTCAAGTCTTCGGCTCAAAGAATTCGGGATGTCGTCGATGGCACTCCTGCCGGACGTACTGGCGCTGTTTGTCCTGGGCTCGGAATGACAAGGAAGCAGGTGCCCGCATGAATTGTAGCGGAACGATACTCGAAAAGCAGTCAAGCCCTTGGCAGGCTGTTCCATAGGCATAGCCCAAATAAACAAACAAGAAACCATCCGCAGGAGCGAAGACCTCACCCACCCAAAGAACCAGGGTCTCGAAGTTTTACAGTCCTTTTTCCGAGGGAGCATCCTGTTCGGGAACAGGGGATTCTGTACCAGAAACCGATTCCGATGTCCGCCTGTTCCAACCAAGCTTTGGCATCGCCAAGGCACCCGAGATGTGACCGACTCCAGGTGCGTCCAATCCACCTCGGCTCCGGTCGTCGCCCATCAGGGTAGCGATTGGGGGGAATAATGATTGGTGTACTGATGTCGCAACAAAGACGACGACTACTCCCACCACTACTACTACTACTACTACTACTACTACTACTACTACTACTGCTACTGCTACTGCTACTGCTACTACTACTACGACGACGACGACTACTAGTGCTGCTGTCCCACTGTATTACCTTCATTAAAGCTTGGCAGTAGCAATCGCTAGGTTGGAATGAGGTACCCTCATCATATCAACGTTGTCAAACCTGGTGTAAGAGTTGAGTGTAGGTGTCGCACGTAGGTTGTTAAGATACTGGCTTCGGAGATTATTGGAGACACGGAACCCAAGGCCCAACGCCTCTAGGACCTCAAAACTGCCACCCTGCAGGAAGATTTGCCATCCAAAGGCTGCACATTCTGAATCGGAATTCTGGTGGGTGGGAAAGTCACCACACTCAAGGATTGAGATCCCGAAACCCTACATGTCCAGGCCCGGATCCAGGGATTGTCCCCAGAAACTTCCATAGCCTTATGTTCTTTTCGGTGCTGCTCAGCTTCAGGAGCCATGCTTAACACGAGTCACTGGTTTATTGCACCAAGCACTCTCAGCGAGCCGCTATGACAAATCCAAGTGGAATCCCTGAATCACTTAAGCCTCAACAACTTACAAGCCTTCTGTCACGCCTGTGCTGCTTTCGGGCTTCGCGAAGCTAGACTCTGAAACGGACTCGGAAGCCTAAGCCCCAAATCAAAGTCGAATCTACCAAAACCTTAGAACCCTAAACCCCCGAAATCGTCACGTGGATATGCTGCATATCAACCGAAACCAACATCAACCCTCCTAAATCCCTTAGCCTGCAGTCCAAAAAAATCTCTCCTTCTGCGGTGGCACGGGCTCTGCGCTGCGGTCCAGCTGTCTCTCCTCGGGGTCCGACCAGTCCTGGAAATACCTTTTCAAGGTTTGAAGGCGGGGGCTTCGGGTTTAGAACTTGGGAATTCTCTTCCTGTCGAGTCTTTACGTGTGGCTGTGATTACTGTAGGGTGTATGTTGTTTCTCAGGTTCTGAGATCTCTTTTCGAGTTTAAGTTTGGGAGCTCTAGGACTACGACTTTTTCGGGTCTCGCCAGCATTTATGGTGTTCTGTACGTCCTTCCGGCAGGACCGCATGGTTATTTCAGGTTTTAGGCCCATAGGGTTCATAAGATGCGCGCTGAGACATGCTGTGATAAGCCGGAATCTTGTACACTCGAAGTGTCAAGGCATGTCTGAGAGGAGCCACCAAGATCGCGCTCAGAGTTTATTAAACCACTACAACCTTCAAGATTCCCGTGTAATTCTGTCAAGCTGCGATTCCTGCAGCGCTTCCTCGCGACAGGAACTACTAAGAGAATGCGGCGGGACTTAGTCGAAGTGCGGACCCCGGTATACTTGCCTTTCTTCTAAACCTATTTGTTGCTGTACTTAACAGGTCCTCGATCAACCAGGTAGGGAGATTTCCTCAGGGCTTCCGATGTCCCGATCTAAGGCCCGACAGGCTTTAGCGCGTTAGGGATGCAGTTGGCGAGAACGATTCCTCGCTTCTTGGGATGAGATCTTCAGCCACATGAACTGAGCGCTTGCAGTGTTGGGCCTCAGCATTGCGGGCTCGTCAACTCCTTCTAGACAACAGCTTTAGACCCAAGCCTGTGGCTCTCTTCGTGGTCAAGACTTCGCAATCACTGCACGTGCTGTTTGGCGACTGGAAGAAGAGACACTCCGTCCACACGGCTTCCGCGCAGGCGGGACACTGCCAAACACAATCAGAGCGTTGCCTCCATGCACATATCAGCCCTTCTGCTTTTCACATGAAATCCGCTCCACTTTAATATTCGGTTGCGGCCGGCTGCCGCTGCGGAGCACCAGAAGCACATCCAACTGGAAATGCCCACGTGGGTCCCTGGATAGCACAGTCCCTCCTACCATGGCTCTGATGTTGGCTTGTGCGGCCTGGCAGGTGCAGCGCCGACGTGGATCGAAAACGACCTCTGCTCTTCCGCATCTTTGGGCTTTGCGTGAACACGCATGTGATGCATCCATGCACGCCTGTGTGTCTGCGTCTCTCCGCATGTCTCTGCGTGTGTGTGCGTGTGTGTGTGTGTGTGCGCATGTATCACAATAGTATGGAACACTGACTGTGGAATGAAGTCTTTCAAGACATGAGCGGCCAAGCATGCATTTGCCAACAACTCTAGCTGACTCTAGCTCCTCAACGTGAACAAGCATAAGAAGAACAGTAGCCTTGTGATGACTTGAGAACACCGGCGCAGATGCGCACAGGCGCTGGGTTCTTCTCAGCTCGCCCTTTCGATGTAGTATTGGTAGCAGTAGCCATAGAAGGTCAAGATACGTTAAGGCAGTCAGCAGTTCTCTCTCCTCCAAAGTCCAGTTCCATATAGGCCAGCTACAGAGAAACCCAAGAGATGACAGATCTCCCAACTGAACAAGACTTCTTGTTCCTAAGCAGCCACCCAAATACCCTCTGCACAAGCCAAATCCCAATTGTGTCTGTAACCAATGAGGATGCGACCAGTCGTCGGAGCAGCTCCTGTGCAGCCTGCACTGCATCACAGGAGGACCCTGAACCTAACCACTTCCGGAGAGTGAAATGTTTTTGTCTTGAAGGAGAAGGGATTGGGGCTTGGCAACTATGACACTCGAAATCCCCCTGCAGCGATGAATCGTGACAGCCTGTGGAGAAGCAGACGGAATTCGGGATGGTTGGTTAGGGTTCGTGGGGCATTGGCTCCAGGGTCAATCAGCCACGAGGCTCTGACAAGATAGGTCACTCATGGTGCCGGAGCAGCAAAGAGCAGTCTCCGTCAATGAATGCCCAGATGAAATACTGCCCTTATACCCTCACATCCGACCTGCACATCTGCTCGCCAGAGCAACGGCTTTGTATGCGACTGGCTGCGCCCACCGCATTGCCCTCCAGATCCGCCGGTGAAGTCGAACGCGAAGCCAAGCCGACAACAAACGGACTGAGGGCGTTGAACAACCTTTTCTTTCTGGACCGCCTTTCGGCCATAGGCCGTTTCCGAGTTCCGGAAGAAGAAAGCATTGGCCATGGCTTGCGGCCCGGTGCGCTCCTCCGTTCCTGTGGTTCACGCTTTCCACCGCCGCTCCGGGCAGCTGCCAACACACCACCTAGAGACATGAAAATCCAATCCGAAAGCCCTGCAAACCCATTGTTTTGGGCTCCAGGGCCTCGGGAATGTGAGTCCTGAAAAGCCCTTGAAACCAAGACTCAGAGAACTCTATCAGGACGTACCACACAGCTAACAACCTCTTCACATGATCCATCAGGTCCCGTAGAGCTACTGAAATCCGACTTGGAAGACCGCGGAACTTACGATGTCAGGTGCAAGGACAACAGACCTACCTCCATTTAGGACTACTTCTCTATTTAGGCCCTTTGATGACACGAATCCGTCCAAGCCTTTGTAGACTTGAATAGTCCAATCCATGCTGAACTCAACTCTACAACCTACACCGTACACCCGAAGCAGCAAACCACAAGCTCTAGATCCTAAGCAGGTCGACAGGCCCAAAACCCGCAGAGGTCCCCAAGCAGAACAAGCAAAACGGGCCTCGGAAGCTCCCAAGGACGCCGTCCAAGAATCCGGTCCCGAGGTTGGAAGCGTGCAGCCAGCCTTGCGAGCCTAGGCTCTGCTAAGAAGACGGGACTGGTGATAAGAAGCCCATTGGAAACAGTTAGTAGCAGTAGCATCAGCCGCAGTAGTATCAGGATCATCGTAACGTGACCGAGATTCCGTCAAGGGCGAGAGTAGACTCAAAAATAGCGGGTGCACAAATCGGGTGGGGTGGGGGGGGGCGTGGTACATAGCTATAACACGGCATGGTGTATGTACAAACAACCAATCAAGCACACTGCAAATAACGCACAGCCACAGCACTGCTTAAGAAATCACTGGCTGAAGGCATTGACTGGCTGCTGGAGGTTCTGGACCAAGACCCAAGGCTTGGAGCTTTGAGGTCAGTTCCGACAGCACGTTTTCGGTGGTCTGGCACCCTGAACTAAACCCTTGAACCTAAAACCGAAACCCTGAACAGACGCTTTGCATGGTCAGACAAGGGGACATGACCTTTAGATTCCGTGCTCTGGGCTTGAGGTTAAAGGACCGGAGACTTTTGGGGACTTCGGATCTGAGAGAGTGGCTTGCCTTGGGAATCCTCAGAGCCTTGGAATCTCTGGGCTCCAACTGCCTCGGAAGGGGGCTCCGACCCAACTCGTTTAGAAGATGCCCAATCTGAAGCAAGCGCTTAGCCAGTCGTCTATGATATTGGACCAGGAAGCAACGAAGTCTCGTGCCTTCCTCGGCCGCCAAGGGAAAGAATTCTCGCTACCATGCCAAGGCTATGCTGGAAAGTGCAAAAGCAATGGCCAAAAGCATGAAAGCACCAGCAGAAGGAATTCCCGTCCTAGCTGGTCAGCAGACAAGTCATCATCATCATCACCATTATCATCATCATCATCATAATCACCATCATCATAAGCAGCATCATCAGCATCGGCAGCAGCAGCAGCAGCAGCAAAACAAAAAAAACAGCAGCAGCAACAGCAACAACAACAAAACCAACCAGAACAAGAAGAATACCAACAGAAAGACCAAGATCCACAGCCGCAGCCACAGCAGCAACAACGACAACAACAGCAGCAGCAGCAGCAACAACAACAACAACAACAGGTGCAGTAGACAGTTAGAACATCGGCGGCAGCAGCAGAAACAGCAGTGGTGGCATAACAATAATCCTCATCAGCGTCTGCATCGCCATCATTACCGTTATCATCGGCTCATCACTGGCATTATCCGGGCTCCATCATCGAACCCGTCACCATACCCTTGGCAGCACCACGGTCACAACCTCCACAGCCGCAGTTATCGGCAGCATCATCTTAATTATCCTCGGCATCATCCTCATCATCACCGTCAACATCCTCATCATCAGCACAACATCAACAGCACATCATTCCCGATCGTCATCACCACTACCCACGATAACATCATCATCAGCAGCAGCAGCCACGTCGACGTGTGGGACAAGCGGAATGGCGTTTCAGTTCCATGTCGCGTGTTCATCGTCCTGTGGTGGCATTTCTTGCATGCGCACTGTTTTGGAGGTGTTGCACCATGGGAAAAATATCGTCGGAATGGCATTTCTCGCGTTGCTTTGTCTGCCCCACAAGGTCTGCTTTCGGACCGAAGACGCGGTCTGCTGCAGACAAACGGCATATGAAATTCGCATATTAGAAGTCTGCACATTTCTGCGCAAGGAAATCGTGAGCATTGACGTTTGGTGATTTTTAAGGGTCCCTGCGGACCGTTTTCTTTTCGGCAAGGCATCCGTGCGTTGCTGTAGCATAATGTGGAAGATGATGAAGAGGATCAGGCTCATGACGATGATGATGGTGATGCTCATGATATCTGATGGTGATGATGATGATGATGACGATGATGATGATGATGATGATGACTGATGATCAGGCGCACTACGGGCATGCGTGCTGCTCCCAGCAGATGCATGCAGGCGTTTGTGCTGCTGTCATTGGTATTTTCGGTGCGAGCAAGCACACGAAACACGGTAAATACATGTGGTTTCGACATGCCCGAAAAACTTGGAATCGGAGGCTCCGAAGACACTGAGGTTTGTAGTCTGTGAACCACGAACTCTGTTGTTATCATGTTTAATACTGGAGGACTTCCGTGACGCCTTTCGATCTTCGGAGCTTTGGGAACTTCAGGCCATTTCTCCGGCCACTGCGACCGTGAAGTCCAAGAACTGACGATGCAGCGTTGGGAAGTTGGGGAGCTCCGAGGTCGGGGTTCAGAGGTCAATTTGCTGAAGCAATTTCGCAAGGATCTTACCGACGATCGCCGTTCAAAGCCCGCCGAAAAACAGTCCAGGGGAAACCATGTTGACAAGCGGGCCTTAGGGAAATCCAACTATACCTCGGCGAAGCTACAGCTACACCCAGGAAGAAGAGCCACGCGAAGAACTCACATGCGGGACCCATCGGCTGCCATCGAGGCTCTGATTTGTCACCCATTCCATCTCCTCTTCCGTTGGAGCTCCTGTTATGCAGCAAAGTAGTGTACGTAGTAGAACACAACTGTAGGGTGCTGTTCTAATTAAGCTCAATGGATAAATGGATCATTATAGGGGCCTAAAACGCCTTAATTTCATGCAATAAGGCCTTGGGGGCTCTTGTGCAATATATGGAAAGGATATTATTCTGGACAACCAAGTGAACAGGGAGAAAAAACATTGACCTTATAGTTACCAATTGGTGGGTGCATGCAGATGACCTACACGGATGTCATCCTCAAGCGAAGGCATCCGAGGCACTGTGCCGGAACATTAACGGATCTACCACAAGCGTAAGGGATAAGTGCGCATCTTTACTGGACTTTTGTGCTGCCGGTAGAAAGCTTTTCTAAACCTCGACCGTCGCAGCTACCAGCTTCAACGCTCTCCCGTTTGCTGTTCTGACCTTTAAGCCCTAACCAACCGACTTACAGCATGCACAAACAGTTAATTACACTAGTTACACGGTGTTGGGCTGCTAACATGTGTCCAAAAACGGGGGAAGCACATGCAGGCGCCAGTTGTTTCTTGAGGCGGTTTGCTCCCGCGGCTGTGGATCTTGCCAATGGCAGAACTGGAAGCAGCAGCTAACGCCACGGCACTGGACGTTGGCGAACCGCCAGGTTCGGGTGCCAAAGTCGCAAGGGCTCCTGCTGAACTGCAGCTGCACCACAAGGCCCCGAAGGTCAGGTGCCACCAAGAAGTGTTTGATAAAGACGTTGCAAGGCACAGAATCCACGAAAGTTTCGCTAAACACTGCTTAGGCGTTCCAACCTGCGGTCCGGCGGTCATTGCCCGTGCGCTCGCGTCGGTCAGCCCCGCGGACTTGAGGCAATCCATACACGGCACGTCCGCCATCTCCAGCAAGCAGAAGACAGAAAGGATGCAAATGCAGCAGGGTGAGAATCTGCAGAAACAGCCTGCGAGAAGAAAGACGCCCACGCGTGCATTCTTGGCGTAACAGGTGCAACGCACCGCCTCACACCGGCTTATCAAGAGCACTGCAAGCCTCGCCATGGAGCGGACGAGGGCGCATCCCGCAACCCAGCTCCATCAAGAAGCATGCAGCCACACTTCTATCAGATATTCTATCAAGAAGTGAAAATTCGAGCCAGCACCGAACCGCTATAAAGAGGACGAAACCAGAAACCGCAAGCCCGGCCGCGGGATGCTCCTGCAACCGTTGTAGCCACAATCAGTGTCTGATGCCTGCTCCAACCGGATCACATCCCTGGCCCAAAACCCGGCGTGCCCGCACTGCGTTACCTGTACCTAAACTGTACAAACCCGAGGCCGTACGGCCCTTCACTGTAGAAGCTCGAAGGCCCCAAACCCGAATACTTTACTCTCAATCCCTACCTAAGCCTTAAACTCTTGCAGCCGAAGCCTCAACAGTTGATCCTAAACCCTAAGTCCTTTCACCCTAAGGCAAGCCCCAAACCCCTACCGCTTACCATTGAGCTGCCGAGGGTCCTAGGAGCTTGAGAATGCTCTGGACCTGGGCCAACGCAGGTTCAAACTTCAGGGTTTGGCGATCGAGTTTGGTCGAGCAATCAGCGAAGCCTTTCGTCCTACTACTACTACTACTACTCCTCCTCCTCCTCCTCCTCCTGCTGCTGCTGCTGCTGGGACTGCTGCTACTAGCACCACTGCTACAGCACTGCTCCTCTGAAGCACATCGGCAATTGCCAGCCACACAAGCGTTGACGATGGATTTATACCTATGCTGTCTTGCATGTGATGCTCCCCTGCCAGGTCTGCACAGATTTGTTGTTGCTAGCACTGTTTCCTGATACAGGTAACGCCTATGCATTCTTCTTGCCTTGACTCGCTGGCATGATGCTCGCGTTCATCCTCCACACCCCAAACCCGAAACTTGCAACGCCATCTAACCTGCGGAGAGGCGACGTGCGTGATTGCATCCCGGCTGGGGAGCAGCGGCTTTCTCCGGTACCTGTACTTATGCTCACTATCGCTAAGTTACGTTTCCATCCATCACTATCGTCAGCGGCACTCTGGCTGCATCTTACTATCGGTCTCTTTTCTCTAAACTTGGCTCACTGCCAGGCGGCAGTGTACAATTTCGGGTTTAGCGTTGACGGCTTGGTTTCGGTGAATTCGCTTCACGAATCTCATCCTCCGTACTGGTAGCAGACCTCCGTACTGGTAACAGACAGGACCAGGTTGGGGCTGGCCCGGGACTAGCAATCTTTCTGTCTTACTTTCGGCTCAAGAACACCAATGTAGCGAACAGCAACAGAGGCCTCCAATCTCGTGTGCCTTGGGTAGAAAGTGGCCCAACGTAAAGGATTCAACTTGTCAAGTGCTCGAGACTTCCAAGGCATCCGCTCAAAGCTTTAACCGTAACCTTCCCAAACCGGAAGCAACAGACCCATTCTCTCGACTGATTGGGAAAAGATGTAAAAAACTAACATCACCCAGGAAGCCCCTTCCATCTTTACTTTCTGTCGCGAGGCATCTCGGCCAGAATGCAACCCACACTCCAGGCCTGGGCTCGGAAGCGCAGGAGATAATACATAACATGTAATATACATTATAAAAGATGCAATCAATATATATATATATATATATATGTATGTTGTATAATAGAATCAGGACGTATCATTGGCTTGATGGCACCTTGCCGAACACATCTAACTCGACAGCGGGCATGTTTAACTGTGCATCTGTCAAGCAATGGAACTTGAACGATTTTGTAGACTTTTTGGCGATCGTGTGCAGGCTTTCGACTCGACAGCATTCACAGCTTTTGTTCCAAAATCGGACCTCGTCTGTGGGGCTCTACATCTGGCCCTTTTGCTGACACTCCAAAGCCAGAAAAATCAGCTCCAATAGGCGCCGCAATACCAGAAGTATCAAAGTGGCGTATTCCAACAAGTAACCTTGCTTGTTAGCTTGGCCAAGAGCCATCATGACTGGAGAGCACGAGCACGAGCACCAGCACTACTAGCAAGACTACGACTACAACTACATCAACGACTACATCTACGACTGCGTCCACTTTTCCGACTGCTCCTACTACTACAGCTACTGCTACCGCTACCACTGCTGCTGCTACTACCACTCCTCCTTCTGCTGCTGTGTCTACTGTCTGCTTTCTCGCTCGACTTGGACAACTTCTGGATCAAACCCGAAGGCCCAGAACACCAAAACCGGAGGAAGCTGCACGCTAGACACCATAAGACTAAAGGCCAAAGCCCCTTCAACCGCAAGACAACGAGGCGTCGACATCGCAGGCACCGCTCAATTTCAGAGCTGTCCAATCCTACAGAGTGCGGCTCGATGGCAGGAGGCGCAAGACGGAGATTCAATGGTGTACAGTTTGGGCCTGGAGGCTTCGAGTTTAGAGACTCCTCGTGCCAGTTGGCAGAAGCCCTCGCCAGCCCCAAGACCGGAAGGCATCGAGTGAGATGGAGTGGTTCAATGTGTTGGATCTTTTGCCGAACGTTTCACCCGGGCGTCGGACTGAAGCTTCCCCACAGTAGGCTCAGCAGATTCGAGTTGCACTCTTGCGAGAGGCTCTGCTGTAGTGAAGGGTGCCCTGTTAGCAATAACCTTTGTTCCACCTGCAGCTTGCGACATGCGAAGTTTGCATGACAAAAGCGCCGAAGACATAGCGCCTAACCCCAAACCGAAGGCCCGCTTGACAGCAAGTCTCAAAGAGGACCGAAGCCCTGCACCCCTTACGCGCTGAAATCTTGTAAAGCGTCCAGCCCAATACCGGGCCTGGGAGGTCCGAAAACTGACGACATCAACGTAACGACGTACGCCCGGTGTTGCCCTGTTGCCCTCAAGCTCCCAGCCGAGAGACTTGGTTCAGGATGAGTTCGGGGGCACGGTACCAGCGATTGTGGTCGCCATCGTCGAAATGCACTGCGCGAGGAAGTTGGGGACATTCAGGGTAGTCGTTTAACTCTTCAACAAAGGGAGCTTAACGCGGAGGCTGATCACTGCATGGGAATGCGGTACTTGCGGTGACTGTAAAAATGTTCTAGTCAATGGTGTTCCCTTTCGTGGTTCTAGTCACTTGATCTAGCATAGTGCGTAGCATCACCCAAAACATCCTGCCTGTGTTGGCCCCCGTGCTTGGAACTCGGCTTATCATTCTAAGCTCGGGTACTCAAGTTCCAAAACACCTTGGCGAAGGAGCTATCCTTGCCCGTAGAGAAGTCCGGAAGGAACAATGGGTCGAACTTTGTGAGGATTAGGATACCGAATAGATTTCCGACGTCATTGTTGGTCCGCCAAACCCTTCAGCTCAGCCATGTCGTCTTCGTTCATGCTACTACAATATACATATGGTTGCAATCTTAGTTTTAAACCATTCGAGCCGAATTAGTCGAGATCACAAATGGCTCGTAACTTATTAAGTCCCAACATCTGATGTGTGCATGTCCATGTGCATGCACGCATGTCAGAATCTGAATGTGCCTGTGTAACTCTATGCATATGCATATGCGTGTGAGCAGATGTAGGGGGCAGGTGCATGCGTAAGTATTCGTGTATGTATGTATGTATGTATGTATGTATGTATGTATGTATGTACGTGCGTATGTGTATGTATACGTATATGTACGTGTAAGTGTATGTGCATATGCATAGGTATATATGTATATGTGCCTGTATGTCTGTATGTATGTATGTCAACGTATGTACATAAGACTATATGTCTGTAAGTCTGTATGTATGTATTCATGTGGGTATGTGTGTCAACGTATGTATGTATGCATGCATGTATGTATGTATGTCTGTGACTGTTTGTATGTATGAACGTATGTACATACATACGTTCGAGTATGCCAAAAAGCATGCGTGTATGCATGCATACATGCATGCATGCATGCATGCATGCATGCGTACATACACAATGCAACACATTACGCTACCATGCAGTACAATACAACGCAACACATAGTTAGTTACCTACATCAAAGCACAAACACATCCATTGATCCGTCCATCCATTTGTATGTACATGCATGCATACATTCATGCATACATGCAAATATGCATACATGCAAACAGGCATGCACACATACATGCAAACATGCATACATACATACACGAACACATGCTTACACACAGTTTATCGATCTGTTGATCTGACTATCCCTCTTCGAATTCTTCTATCAACCCCTCTCACCCATCCTGGCAAGCCAAGACAAGTGACCAGTGCAGGCGCGCCGACTTTGTTTTGCAAGATACAGGCACAGGCCATACAAGCAGAACTCTGCCAACGTGCTACCCTTTTGCCCTCTCCATCTTCCCAAGCTGCGCCGCAGCCCGAGGCTTGGGTGGGTGGGTGGGTGTCCCACGGGCATGTTAGGTGGAAGAGACGGATGGTGTTCCTGCCTACCCCAAGCAACCGCGAACACCAGTACATCTATCTATCTGTCTATCCGTCTATTTATCTACCTGTATGTACGTACCTATCTACCCACCTATCTACCTATCTACCTATCTACCTATCTAACTATCTACCTATCTAACTATCTATTTATCTATCTATCTATCTATCTATCTATCTGTCTATCTACTTGTCTATATGTCCACAAATATATGCCTTTAAACCGTCTCCGGTGGCTGTCAAATCCTCCCAAAGCCCCCAAACCTCCAATGCTAGCTCCCAATCACGAAACCAAAGCCGTGGCCTGCGTTTGCAGGCAGGGCGTCCAAGAAGTCTGTCAGCTTCACATGACAGTTCCTGGAAGGCTGACAGAGCAAGCTAAAGCCCATCCTTTGACCTTTAAGGTCTCGTTTGGAGCTACCCCCCATCGCTTAAATCTGAACCACCCCGTAACCAGTCGGAATGCTGTCAAGACGACCCAGCAATGAGGCTGGGAATGTTGTACTGTAACTACTACGATTGGATTGGGGATGCCACTACTGCTGGCCGAGTCGTACGTAGCTGTGGCAAAAACAACCTCGGCACACACAACACACAGAAGCATCCACACACGCACTCACTCACACCCTTTCATACGCATTGCACTGCATTGAACCACGAATGCCGACACCGCACGCAACAGTCACCAAACACTTCTCGTAAATGCACTCCGAGTCTCTTGTTCACCATGACGACGCGGGGCTTCAGCTGGTGATGAATGACACCGGCAGAGTGCATGTAGCTCAGGGCCCTGTGAAGCAGTGAGGTTCTGTCTTACGGCTCAAATTTCTCAAGGCAAGGGCTGTGTAGTCGTATGCAATTCGGCACGCCGAGATAGAAGCCCCATGGAGCATTAGACCTCCCTTGAGAAACCCCGAAGCGCAGCAACAAAAGCACATTGCACATTGTGCCAGCTGCGCTGCTCGTTGTCCTAAAGGGGCTAGCTAGTCTCCTGCGGTGAAGCCTCTCGATACCTCTGCGTAGTTCAGAAAACTCTATCTTTACATGGCTACGCACCACGCAGCTTCAAACCTCGAACATTCTGCTTCGTTGCCAGGGTGAGGCCAGCCAATCAGAACATGCGGCACGCTACCACGGATCACCTCCCCAGCCCTGCGCCGCTCACGAAACCCGAACCCGACAAGGACCTCCAAAAGCGGCAGGGAATCTGCAGAGAAATGCCTTTAAACCCACAGAAACCACGACTACCCAGCATAAGTTACAACTCCGACTCACCTTTCCCCTCGTTTGCCTCAGGATTTGGTAGGTCAGGTATTGGCAGTGCTCCTCGGTGAGCTCCTGAGAGCTCCTGGAGATGACATCCTCTTTGGCTTCTCAATCCTGCAACCTACCGCGCCAACTATCTATCTATCTATCTGTCTATCTATCTGTCTGTCTGTATACATATATATATATATATATGTACACCGCATATCTACATGTGTATATATATAACATGCAATATAATACTCTATGTAAACATGTGCGCATGTGTGTACAAGCAGAAGTAAACATGTATATATAAGACTATATATATATATGTATTTAGGCATGTGTTTATTTATCGAGCTTTATCTGTGTGTTCGTTTATCTATTAAACACACCGTTTAGCGGGCAAGTCGTGGCCCAAGTGTCCTAAGGACTGATGCCAGGTCGATGTCCATGTGCTCCACCATGATGCCTCAGCAAGGTCTTCAGGTCTGACTGGGTTAGTTGATTGCCTAAGCTTCGAATGACAGATTCCCACGACGCGGCTGTGTGAGTGCCGATACATGTGCCTTCAGCACGTCTTTCTCGACAGTTGTGTTGGTGTTGCCGAGTTTTTTCGGGGTTTGACTGGAGGGCTACCACAGACGGAGCGCCTCAGTGGACGTCTTGGCTTCCAAATGCCAGGCATAACGAGCACCAGCTGGGCCCTTGACGCTCCTGTTCGCGTGACTTCCCTTATTCGCGCACATCATGGCATCACCTCGCCCGTTCCCGAGCCACGTCATGGCCCTACTACACGCCTTCAGTTTTCAATGCAGAACCGGACGACTGCTTCGAGTCCACTAGAGTCATTAAAGGGTACAACTGAATCAAGACTTGAGATTCACGAAGTTTTTCGCAGAGAAGGTGCGTTTGGCTATTGTCGAAGTCTTCAAGACGGTCAACACTCTTTCAACCACTTCACTAGTTCCTGTGAGTTCGATCCTGTGGGCACAACAGAAACCTTACAGGCACTACCATCGAACGCCAGGCATCCCGAAAGAGCACTGCATGTCCTGGGGCTCTGGCAGATGTCGTTGAAGTCTTCGAAGGCAGGCGGCACATCCAACAGCTTCCTGGTTGTGGACCGTAGGTCATTAGATGCATGTCCTGGAACCTGTTCAGGGTTTACAGGTGTGTCCTAGGGCTCAGGCTTAGGGTGTATTGCATCTTGTTGCTTATATACCCGGAACTCGTTCATGTTCGAGGAGGTCATGAATGTTTTCGGCAAGGGACTTTAGGAGTGATCTTCAAGCTCGATGCCCTCGTTCAGGCACAACGAACACCCATGGAATAACTGGTAAGAATCAGGTCCTTTCTGCTGAATTAGCCTCCGGAAGTAATTGTGTGTCAAACACTGTTTCTGACTGCTAGCACTGCTACTTTTCTCGACGTCCTGAATCTACGATCCCCTGCGGCTCCCGAGATGCCCTCTGGTGCCCCTGGAGTGGCGAAGAAGTGAAGTACGCTATAACAATACTTGCACAGTAAAACATTGGTACTGTAGTGTTTAATTAGGTAAAATAGTACGGTAGTATAGCCGAAGTACAGCAGCAGTACGCCGCAATTGGTTTGGGTAGGCTTGTTAATGAATTAGAAGTAGGGTCTGGGAAAGTCCAGGGTTTGGGTTCGATTGAGGTCTAGGTGGGCATAACTAAGAAGGGCCTGCAGGGTTCATAGAGATGCCTTGAAGCATCAAGCCTCAGGCCCTTCTTGCTATCATCTGATCCGTTAGGATTGACCAAACCAACAAAAGTTGTTCGGGCGAAAAAAGCACAGTAGAGTAAACGGTAGAGAAAATGGTCTGTCCTGAACAAGCCACCGGGAAAAAAACTGCATTTTTAGACACCCGCTTCAGTAAGGACAGAGCCACATTCTCTTGTTAATATGGTCACTACTGCCCTTGGCAGCGCAATGCTTGGCCAGTCTAAAAGGCGACCATCTTTCTGCTCCCATCGCCAATGGCGGTGCAATCTCGTTATTACTATGGTTGCCACAGTTTCCCGGACATGAGCTCCAACAAAGGTTCGCAGGCAAGATCGTCGACTCGCCAACCCCCTGTGTTCAGGAGACACCACTGAGGATTTGAGATATGCATGTTTGCTCACACAGATCATGGTGAGTGTACCTGTCAACATAATGAGATTTTGTGACGCGTCCTAAGGGTCCAAAAGACTTGGCCACTAAAGCGAGATTGTCCCTTACCTGGATTTGAAAGCCAAGTCTCAACCGGAATCCAAAACAGCATCGCCAATCCCGGAAGTCGCGCAGGGCTCTAAGTGCAGATACCTTCGATTCTAAAGCCCCCAGCTTGTCCCCAGCTGCCTGACCACAAAGAGTCAGGCTTCAGGCAAGAATCAAGATATTCTCGTGCTTGAAGTGTTGGAGCAAGTAGATCCTCAGTGTGCTCAGCGTTTCCGAGAGTGGGACCCTTCAAACTCTGACTTACATTGTGCTCGTTGTCCTCGATCAGCCACAGACCCGAACCTCACGCCACGCTTCATAGCAATCCAAAGAGTCAAAGTAAAGTTATTCTACTGACCGAACGTGGTGCGCATAGTCGAGCTTACATTTTCTGCTTCCAGGATTCGGGCATGGGATTTAGGTTTCGGGGTTGAGGGCCTGCATGCGGGGGTTAGGCCAACAAACGTCTCGGCCCGCAGGGCTTACAGGACCTTATTAATTACCTCGTGTGAGACTTTGTAAGATAGCATAATGTGCTTCCTGCTGTGAGGAATCTTACAACACTCACCTTTCCGGACCCGAAACTCCGAGAAGAGAGAAAGGCGCTTTAATCAAGGCAAATAGGTGCGGGCGGGCGAAGCCGCAAACAGCAAACTCACAACTCAAAATGAACCTTTGCACCTAACTCTGGACACACCGCGCTCCCTCACATCCCAACTACAATGCAGTCGGGTTGGAATTAGACACTCAATTCGGAGGTGCAAAAATCTTCAACATTCGGCCCCAACAGTGTTTCACAGCTTCACAGCTTGTCTATGCAATTAGGCTTGGTCAAAAAGTTATTGAAACCAAACCACTCACTGAACGTGCATCTCCCAAATCAGTTTTGGGTTTCCGAGCTTGGGGTATTCTAGCGTTCAGGGTAAGAGCTGTAGGGGTCTCATTGCTGGGACTGACATCTGCCAGGTGTCTCTTTCACGAGATTCCCGGCCCACTCCTCGTCAGAAAACGCCTGCTTCACGCACCTGGAGCATGGCCCGTGGCTTTGACGTCTAAGCTGCAAACCGAGTAAAGTATAAGTTAGCTGCTCATACATGAAGTTGAGGCTAAGCTGTAGAGCAGAGGCTTGTGGCTCCAGCATTTTGAAGCTCCAGCGCGGTTCAGCAAACCCTACGTATGGACAAAGAGCACAGGAATCAGGAAGACTCAAGGCTTTCCAGATCAAGATGAAACTTGGAGCCGCAGATGCTGAGGTCTCCTGTTCCAAGGCTTAGACCGAGAATCCCAAAATCGTGAACCAACCAAGCACTTGTCCCTGGACCTCGTAGCCCTACACTGTTTACACGACCCTTCCCTTTTTACACGACCCTTCTACGAAACCCGATGTCTGCGCATGCCTCCAAGCCTTGAACCAGTTCAGAACTCCACATCTCAAACCTCAACCTCAAGCCCTAGGCCCTGTGTACGCGAGAGGGCTGATGAAGCTGATGCACGCACATACGGTTTAGGGCTGTTGGGCCCAAGAATTCCATCACACGACCGGGCACATGCCACATGCTAGCTGTCGTGCGGAACCCTAAACCATGCAACCTACGAAGCCCCTTTCCTTTCAAGTTTTCCCTTCTGTAACTGTACTCCTTTGCGGCCGCCCTGGCACCCTTTAGCGCAATCCAAGGCATCGCCCTTGCGAACATCAAGACTGCACAAGTTCTCACAGGGCGGGGGACTTGGCGCCTGAAAACGGGCAACACATACGCATATGTGTACGTACATACATACAGACATGCACATGCGGACGTTGTCGACTGGAATGGTTGCAAATTATTGGGGCTGCTGTAAGCGGGCCGGGCCTGATGGAGATCTTGTCCCCCAGCAGGGCATCCCCTTGGCAGAAGCAGGGATGCAGAGGAGCAGTGCCGGATTTGGCGGACTCGCCCTGAAACCTCTTATGCTTTGAGACCGCGCATAGCTGTTTACAGCCCGTTGCTGGCTAAAGCTGTCTTATGAGATTCAGGATCCACGTTCTCGAGTGTTCGGAGTTGAGAGCTGTAGTCTGTCGTTCAGGTTTGATCTATGCGGCTTCAGACTTCATCATGTGTAGACTTCGCCGCAATATGTAGGGCCTTATTGGCTTCAGGCTCCAACTCTCCTCTGAGAGGCAAATATGCAGATAAAGCTGTAGCTGTGCAGACCGGCGGCTGAAGGTGTAGTGCCGCCAGAAGGCGCAGGCGCCTTTGTCGGCTTCAGACAAGGAGTTCCCCTTCTTCTGCCGTTTCGCTCTTCGGGCCCGATGAATGGCATGCAAGCTGTTTCGGGATCTCTGGTGACTTCAAGCAGGACAAGGCTATTCAAACAAAAAGTTGTGAATGCTCAGGCTCACAGGAGGCTTTCAGGGTTTGGGCTTGGGGTTCAGGGCTCAAGATGTTAAGTCTGAGGAGTTTAGAAGGCTTTCTCAGAGAGCAGCAGTCCAAACCCAAGGTCCAAGATCTGGAATTCCTCGGAATGGAGCTGTGACGCTGTCCCAAGACCCTGGGAACTCTCAAGATCGGCTCGTACGCGGCTCCTGGAAGTGAGTAACCCAAAGGATACCAAGGCTCCTTTCTGCTTCGACCTCCACTATGGACATCGCCCCTTCGGGAATTCTCCGGAACCATCATCATGGACCCTATGCAGAGACACCCTCATCAACAAAGACACCAACCGCCTCCCCAAACCCGAAACCAGAAACCCAAACCCACCAAGTTCGAACACCCACATCGCAAGGCCACAGGCCTGACAACTTCACTTTGCGAAGCCGGGCGGGCAAAAGCTGCTGCCCAAAGCCTCCACAAAACAGCGACTTCGGCCTTAAGCTAAGTAAGGGACTGTATGGTGGTTTCCATGGTTTGATATAGGGATGTGCTTTGGGCTTCGTGCTTTGCGAAACTAACCTACACTTCTTCTGGTCTAAAGTCCAACACTGACGCTTGTGCGTCTTCCAGTGCCTTTCCATGCAGGCCGTGCTGACAACTAGCGTGGGCAGTAAGCTGTCTTCTTGCGCATCGACGGCATGTCAAGGATGTCTGATGATGGGACAAGTCGTCACGACGGAAAACCCGGAAGCCTTCAACGTGCATAGCCTTGTCGACTGCACTCCCCCAAACAAAACAGCGGTACGAGCGGAAATCAATTTCGAAATCCTGCACCCCGAAATGTCTGACAGCACGCAGAAGACTCTGCGCCCCGGATGCACACTAAAACTGCAGCTTCATTCCTGTATAGACACTCTGCTTCAACTACACTTAGGACTCAGGCTTGCCATCGCTCGCTCCAAGGCCTTCGAGAGTTACCTCTTCGAACTCTTCACTGGCCACGCTCACCTTGGCCGGCCCCGAAATTCGGCTCCGCCCCCATTGTGCAGGGCTGGAGGAATCAGTCGACTCAACTTGACATGACATGCTAGAATCAGAAAAGACGGCTTGCCTTCCTGTGGGACCTTCGGCGCCCTCGGGCCCAAAGCTCGAATCGGTGGTGGGAATTCTGGGTCCTAGCGCTACTCCGCTACTCCCTGCAAACTAAAACGCGAGAGCCGTGAGCGGCTCTAGGGCTCTGGGGACTCTGAAAACCTCCATGCTGACGGCGTGGGGTTGAGTCAGCATGGACGTAAGCCCGACCTGATACACTCAAGCCTCACCATTCCAAGCTTGTGGCCACAGTCAGCACGCCCTCATCCTCAATCCCTGCTTGTGCCTTGGCAGCAGAAATGCTTGGTGTGTGTTCAGATGTTCACCTCAACCCTGATGACTGGCATAGGATAAATATAAGTTCGGAAGAAGGCTCGCAAGGAAGGTTTTGGAATAGTCTTCAACTATCGCCTGCAGCATCTCCTGATTCAGGACTCCAGCACATAACCCCTGCTGCCCGGGCAGTCCATAGCCCAGTGGCTAGCGTGCTGTCGTAGCCAGAGGTAACCTGGTCCTGACGTGGGACGGCTCGGCTTCACTAGCTTGCGCCAGGTCATGATCAACGTCGCCATCATCATCCTACTCATCGTCTCGCCTTCTGCATCCGGGAATTCGCAGCTTACCGGGTGTGTCGCACAGTGAGGCTGCAAATTGAAGTCTGTAGATGAACAGGCATCATGCACACGGGAGGCTACGTACCTTCAACCCCCCAATCTGCAGCTTTGGGTGGGCAGAACGGTCAGGGGCATAGTAAGACCAGTGACGGCATCTTGTGCCCAATCTGGAACACTTAAAGACAGCGTCAGTACCCCCGTGGTGATGCCAACAGTAACAGTCGCCAGACCAAACACCAACCGGAAGGTCAAGAAGGTTGTTCATCTTCCTAGGTAGCTGCTTCAGACTAGCATGGCCAGGGCCACGTTGACTTTTCAAGCAGCTGGAATAGACAACACCACTGCTTGCATCGTTCCATCGCACAGCCCTTGCACTAGCGACTCATCTGACCTGCAAGTTCCAGAGCTCTGCGGCCCCGACTCAAGTAAGCCCGCATAAATCAGGAAAACGGAGTAAAACGAGAGAGGTCTTGTTGGTACCAGTAGTGGCTGTGTGGACAACACATGGCCTGATAAAAACTCTTGCCACAACGCTGCTGCATCCCGAAGACCCAGCACCCTGAAATGCCAGCTGTCTAGATCCCCAGATTCCAGATCCTCCATCTTGAAATCCAGCACCCTTAACTCCGAATCATAAGGAACTGGTATCCAAATGGGACTCCCCAAGCCGTGAGGTTGGACTTTCAAGAGTTGAATCAACAAAACAGACCCCAGTGCTATCTTATCTTGCGATCCCATATCTTCCGCAAGAAGAAACAGTCACGGCCCGAAGCCCATAGCACGTCACACAGTCGCTGGTATCTTCCTGAAACAAGGTGGTGTCAGGCTCCCACTGATTTGCCGCATCCCCAACCCTCCAGCCTAAACCTGGAATCAACGAAACCCACGCCTGGCCCAGGTAGAGTCGCGTGAGGTGTGCAGGCAAGGCCAGTGTCCTGGCCACTGATACACTGGCCGAATTTTCAGGAAGTTTGGGATCCTAAGCCCTGCAAAAACACACAAGCAGCAGAAATGTTGTTGTATGTGCCAGCGAAGCGTCTTCTCAATGTAGCGCCGCAGTTCTGCCATCGTCGCATCCTGCAAAAACTTGCAACAAGGTAAGTCAAAAGAAGATGATTTGCACGCCCTTCGCCCGCCAAAAGGACTGACCCATTACTGTGGATTCAAGCCCAGCGCGGAAGCTGAACTCAACCCATAAACTCTTATGAACTCCTAATAAAACCATAAACCCGAGAACTTTAAAACCCACTGCAAGCCCCTGACCAAGGACGATGCCTTTGCTATCCGACAGGAAAGGTCTCACTTCACAGATCGGGACGTGGCTCCTGCTTGGGGTCTTTACACTGAGTATAGGAAGACACTTTAGGCGTCTATGCAAGGATCCGTTGTTTTGCGAACCTCCCAAGCGGAGTTCTGTAGGTCTTGTACGGTTGCCTCTAGCAGCACTGGCATTCCGTCGTGGAGGAGCCCCACGCCAACAAAGGAAGGCATCCGATGTCGTGTCCTTTTGACTTTTGAGGCTTCCAAATAGTCGACGAGTCGACAACTACGGCAGTCCTCATTTTCTTTTCCAAACACTCCCACTCTAGCACACATATACCGCGTCGCTGTTGACAAATAATGCCTTTGTCACCGTGGAAGTGTTGCCCCTCTTTCTTCCTTGAAGGACGTGAGCGGAAAGCGGGCTTTCAACATGAACAAGCAAAGCTTGTTGGTAGGTTCAGGGCATGAAGTACAGACGGGTACTGCAAACAAGCACCGCAAAGGTATATCTTGTGATGAAGGTGCTTCAAAGGCATTGCTGTGTTCGGAGACCCCACTACTGTAGGCCGTTTTCGGCAAACACTTCACCCGCACCTGACTTGGGCAGACTCCGGGACGCACGATTTGCAAGCATGACAGATACAGGTCAACGGAAATCTGGAGCATGCGTAAAATCCAGCTGCGGTCCTCATTGATGCTGATGTGCACCTGGGCCGCAGCAGGTTCTTGCCCACAACGGCTTCGTCTGTGGAGGCTAACCACACTATGTCAAGTCAGAACTGCATTAACCTTGGCCAAAGCTGGGGTGCAGATCCAGTTTGTGATTTCTTTGTCTCGCAACTCGTAACTTCCGAAGGGTAGTGTTCTTGCTCGAAAGAGCTGCTCCATTCAGCCTGCACCCCCAAGCCCTAAACTCCCCATGTAGGAGCTTGAAGCCTGCAGCTGCGGAGGCCACTCACGCTGACCTTTCTGAGTCAATCCTTCGATCCGGATCTAAACAAACCCGCCCTTTCTATCCCTTTCTCAGGTCTGGGTCTCCGGTTTTGGAGCTCAGGGCTTCTGCCCCTTGGAGGGCTAGGGCGGGTAGGCACAAGAGGAGCCACAGCCGGAACAGGATTGCAAGCAAGTTCGGGCTGCATGTACTGTACCACGACTACACAACTTCCTGCATTGCAGCCCTAAGCCAACTAAACCCCGGCGGCCCTAGGGCTAAACTGCGAAACCCGAAACCCTGGCTCTAAAGAAGACCCCCTCCCGGACCGCAGACCGATTTGTTTAACCGTTCAACCTTACGCCGTAGTTTTGTGACATTCCAACAGCGTCAGCGGGAAATGCAGCCCAGCGACCTCCCGCCCCGAAAGAAGTCGCAGCGTCAGCGTAATGTCGCGTCCGCGGACGGAGGGCGGCGACTGATCCTGACCGAAAACTGCGACAGCAGGAACGACGTGTAGTACAGTATACTGGCATATGTAGCAAGTACATACGTACTTTCATACATTCATCGTCTTCTTCTTCTTCAACCTCTGTCGCACGACTGTCATGCTAGAGGAGCAAGTGCAGTCGCAGCACTCCCTCGGTAGTAAGATCTATGATGCTGCCAGTGGCGCATTCATACATTCATACATGCATGCATGCATGATGCCTAAATACACATACCAACATATACATATACATGTATGTGTATCTATGTATGCGTATGTGTGCATATACATATATATATATATATATGTATATACTCTGTTTTTACTATGTATATAGCATGTATATAGTATGTATGTAGTATGTATGTAGTATGTATGTATGCATGCATGCATGTGTACGTATGTAGGTATTAGTTATGTATATATATATATATACATACATGTATGCAAGCGGGTACGTATATAGACAAAGATATAGTACACATGTACACTTCTAACATAGCTCTACTACGTCATATAAACAAACATACGCACGCGTGTGTGTGTGTGTGTGTATGCATGTGCACAGATAACGCAGTAAACATGGCAACCCACTGATCCATAGTTTCACGATCATCCAGATAGTCGTTTGCCCGAGTCGAATGATGACTGCAACACAAGTCGTTGCTACCATCTGCCTGATGCTTTCGAAAAGAGCTCAACTTCCTTTGCGCGATCGTAAGGCCACATCTTGCGCTGCAAATAGCAGATGGCGCAAACAAGCAACCTTACATCGGAACTGTTTGTAAGCTACGTGGCTTGCTGAGAGCTCCGTTCGTGCAGCAAGCTCTTGCTTCTTTCCGAAATGGTCCCGCGAAGCTACCTTGGGCCTCCTAGGCTTTCAGTCGGACCAAGAAATGTTCAATTAAAGAAGCTTTGTATCTTTTGCTTTCATGGGCATTGGGGTGCCCGATCACTTGTGTCTTTTTTTTTGGGTTCACTTGTGTCTTTTTTTTAGGGTTCGCTTGTGTCTTTTTTTCTGGGTTCGCTTGTGTCTTTTTCCTCCTTCGGAAGCAACAGTCTCGAACGAGAGGTGCGTT